CGTCAAGAGACATTTCATTATATAAAATATTGATCGTTGAAGACGGGAATATTGCATTTATAATGATAAATTTTAATAGAATTCTGTTGTAAATAGAAATGTATTGGCCAAAATGGTCGAAATCGATGTATCGAACTGTATGTAATATGATGAATATCGATCAGGAAGAAAGACACAATCGATTGCTTTCTCTTATTCCGTATTATAAATTTAAAAGAATTATTTTTATTTATGTAATGATTTGTCGAATTATAATTACAAAACACAAAATTTAAAACGTGAAAACAGGTGTGTCCAACCCGCGGCCCGAGACAAGTTCCAATGTGGCCCAATAGACAAAACCGACAAATGTTTTAATTTTTTTTATTATTTATTTATTTCAACGGCATAAACTCAAAAAAAGAAGTTTCACAAAGTCGTAAAGCTTTATTCGTATTTTATTTTTGAGTGGAAAAGAAATATTTTCAAATACTTGGAGATGTGTGGAAGTTTTGAGGAAGAATTACTAAGTAAAGCAGGAGTTGTGACTCAAAGGATTATAGACCCAAATTTGGCGAAAGGAGAAAAAAGACAAAAGATAAAAAGTAGTGAAAAAGGTTAAATAGATCTTTTTTTACGCAAATATTGAGCCTTAATTTTCCAACCTTTCTCACTTCTTTATTTTTTGTCCTTTTTCTCCTTTCCCATCATTTGGCTCTATAATCCTTTGAGTCACACTCCTGCTTCATTTAGTATTTCTTCCTGCGTCGCGAGATTTGGCTACATTCAGCCAAATGTGGCTACTATTTTTTAATTTGACGTAAAAAATATCATTCGTCGCTTTGGCTACTTTTGGGCTGCACATTATTTATAAATATATTAGTTGAAGAAAAATGCACTTTTGGTGTGTCGTCGCTTTTTATTAATTATAGACCCAAATAAATATTTGTTTTTCAAATAAATTTTCGTTTGTCTCTTTTATAATAAATTAATTTATTTATTTCTAAGTAAAAATTGAATGTGTCTGTAAAAGTAATTTTTTAGAAACGATAAAAACTTAATTCTAAATCTAAAATCTTAGTTCTAAGATCGGCACTCAAAAATTGAGCGAGAAATTCATAAAACGACACGTTAATATGCACGTAGATTTATAGATGAATGCTACTCGACGATAAAGACACGTAACGATTGTACGATTTAATAATCTGTGATGAAAATATGAAATAGACTGAAATAATTTAATTTTAATATAAAACTTCGTGAATTATAATTCATCAAAAGACATTTCACTATATAAAATGTAGATCGTAAAAGTCTGTAATATCGCATTCATAATCATAAATTTTANATGGGATATAATAATATACTACACTAATAATGGATTTTTTCATACTTTTCTGTTATCCGACTTTTCAATTATCCGACCAACCCCAGTCCCCAATTAGGGCAGATAATCGAGGTTCTACTGTATTTCTTCCTGCGTCGCAAGATTTGGCTACATTCAGCCAAATGTGGCTACTATTTTTTAATTAGACGTAAAAAATATCATTCGTCGCTTTGGCTACTTTTGGGCTGCACATTATTTATAAATATATTAGTTGAAGAAAAATGCACTTTTGGTGTTTCGTTGCTTTTTATTAATTATAGACCCAAATAAATATTTGTTTTTCAAATAAATTTTCGTTCGTCTCTTTTATAATAAATTAATTTATCTATTTTTAAGTAAAAATTGAATGTGTCTGTAAAAGTAATCTTTTAGAAACGATAAAATCTTAGTTCTAAGATCGGCACTCAAAAATTGAGCGAGAAATTCATAAAACGACACGTTAATATGCACGTAGATTTATAGATGAATGCTACTCGACGATAAAGACACGTAACGATTGTATGATTTAATAATCTGTGATGAAAATCTGAAATAGACTGAAATAATTTAATTTTAATATAAAACTTCGTGAATTATAATTCATCAAAAGACATTTCACTATATAAAATGTAGATCGTAAAAGTCTGTAATATCGCATTCATAATCATAAATTTTAACAGAATTCTCTGTTGTCATAGAAATGTATTGGCCAAAATGGTTGAAATCAATACATCATACAGTAATATGCAGAATATCGTTTAAGATGAAAGACACAATCGATTGCTTTCTTTTATTACGTATTTTAAATTTAAAGCATTTGTTTTCAATTATGTAATGATTTGTTGATTTATAATTACAAAACACAGACTTTAAACGTTTATAACCAATAATAAAATGAGTAGTGTTAAAATGAGTTTAAATCTGTTCCTTTCAAAGTTTTCTGCTTTGAATCCTTTGCATTTTTGATGGAGTTATGTTTTGATTAAAAAATTGTTTAAAATAGAATAAGGTGATACAATATCATTCTAAAAGTAAATGTAGATACAATAGATGATATTTTCATATTTTTACTTTTCATACAATTATTTATACAATTTGAAAAAAGAAAACTTTTGATGTATCATTTTCTTTATGAAGAGATTCACCGAGTTCCAGCAAGGAACTTCGTTAATTTATAATTCAGAATATTTTTACAATAGTTAATGTCACTACGAAAAATTCATCTTTTATGTTTTCGTTTACACGGGTTTCTTTTTGTATCGAATACTCGTATGCTTTGGACGAATTGGGGTATAGCCGAACCGCGTGCCGAAGATTGTACGATTCGCAATTCTATGGCCGTCGGCCATATGTATATTTGTATATATCGAAATCTGTATATTTATATAAACGTAATTCTATTTTATCTAGGCGAATTCCTCTATTTCTTCCTTCTATCCGTTCCTGGAACTTTCTGGGAGAACCGTTTTTGCCTTTGGGTAGGATTAGCGATTACACGAACATGAGCAGAACAATAGGAGGTAGGCTCACCGGGTGAAAAACGACCGACGAGTTAGTCAGTTTTTGGACTGGAGACCGAGGGGACCGTATTACAGTTTAAACAGCATTTTCACTTTGAATTTCGAACTAACCGAAATCCTTTACGTGTAAATCTCTAAATCTTCGGCTTGGACAAAAGTACACTTACGAAATAACAGGATTTCGAAGTATCCGAGTTCGAATTATCGAGGATTCACAATATGTCTGTATGAAAAAATATATCTTATAAATTTGATTATATGGTAATACTCGTGGTAAATACTTCAAAACATATATTGTTCAATAGATATTACAATCAATTAAACAGGGTCATATCAGAAACGTTTTAAGTATATTCATTTTTGTATAATAAGTCTTTTAAAAGGTTTTAATTTTAATATAATTTTTATACAAATCCTAAACCTAATAAATGCTTGTATTACAGTCGACCCACCCTATAAGACGGTAGATACCTTCCGTCATTTATGAATCGATTTCTTACGAGTCCTTGCCAATCACAGCCCGACACGTATGCACTTTACTGACTACGGCTGTTTGAAATGTTTTCTTCCATAAAATTAATCTATTCTAGATTAAATCGACTCAACATTTCCAAAACACGTATAATTTTTTTGGAAATAATCCGTATAAACTGCTATAAACAAAAAATTGTGGGATTACTTACCGAGTGTGCACCATTCGACATCGCCGTTGCTCAAGCTTGTTTTCGTCGCGGAACAGCTTAGCAAACGCGGCCGCGATTCGTGATGTTATTTTTTTGCGAAAACTTCGTTGAACTTTGGAGACATCATTAATATAAACAATTTTAAACGCCGTTGAATAAGGAATGTTTCTTTCACACAAAATGTATAAAATTACAGTACTGTATTAGACTTACGGTACCTAATTTACATACTGTACATACGATAGTTCGCCTAAACTCTCCATAGCGTGGCGCTAGACAGCGGAAAGCATATACAGTAGACCCCACTATAATTACGATTCCTATAAAACTGAGAAAAAATTGGGATGGTATCCGTAAAAAAAAGGTAAATAACTCCTATAATTACGTAAAACGTCATCGGGCAGCCGAACTTCTTTCCGCGCCGTCAAGCGCCATGCTACGGAAAAATTACTATCGTCTGTACAGTATTATATATAAATTATATATAAATTAGGTACTGTACATNTGATATTATGGCAGTTAGTTTTAATATGAAAATAATAACGATATAGCGGCCGAAGTTTTCATCTGTAAAACGTAAACGTCGAACATCGAGTGCCGCTTACAAGATAGCGGCACTCGACGTTCGACGTTCACGTTTTACAGATGAAAACTTCGGCCGCAACCTTGCTAATATGAAATTAACGATTAGCGCCATCTAGTTTCAAAAACGCGCAACGTTCGCATTTCTAACTTCCTAACGAGAAACGCATGCGCAAATCCGTCACTAGTGCCTATTGTAGAGTGTTGCCATTTTGTATTTTATAGTGATTTGGTTCTCTGTTCCCCGTGTACCTAGAAGTGCAGTTTTTTTCAACTTCTTGAAACTTGGCACTTCTTGAAATTTGGCACAGAGTATCATGCACTCATGATACTCTGTGCCAAATTGCAACTCCTGACATGTACAGTACTCCTTCATACCTCTAAGCGAGTAAGCCGTGACGGCACCGCGATTTATAAATCAGACATAGTCTAGTAAAAATAACATTTTCGATATAAATATTTTAACTCGATAATCTTATCTTTTCCGCAACAGAAAACATTTGAAGTAACGAATATGTAATACGAAATCATTGCGAAGAACGTATTGTTTTTCCTAAATCTTTCACAAAAGTATTTAAAAAACTTAGATACTTTATGGAAAAATTAAACTGAGCTCAGTGGTGGCCCGACACGAATGCATAGATGTGGTGAAATGTTTCTAATGTTCTGTCTAAAGCAGCTAAAACCCGCAAGTTTAAGGAAAAACTTGAATGTTCAATGCCATTACCGACAGGAACATCAAGAAACTTTCAAATCACTCAATGTACTGTACAACCAGCAGCTACATGCAAATCCAGCAACTGGTTAAGATCCCTTTAAAAATCCGCGGGCTCACACCTGCATTACTAAGGAAGTTATTGAAAGATTAACATGGGGAGGAGAGAAGTGAGAAAGATGGAGAGGAAAGCTAGTAGCAAGAAAGATGTATAAAACCACTGCTGGAAATGGTGTATTTAGGATTAAACAGATACATTATTAAATACATAAACATTATTTTACAAACAATATGGTTTTATTTAGTTATGACAATTTGGATCTGTTAGCATAAATACTGAAGATATATATATATGTATAATCTTGGCTTATTGGAGGGACTGTTAAGCAACTGTAGTATAGCTGGTTAGCAAGACAATGACTAGTCCATTTCCAATTGTCCACCTCTATAAAAGCCGTTTAATTTAAAACGAACTGTAAACATGTGTGGAAGTACATACGTTGGTTGGTACCTGCTTAGTTTGATTACAGGATTGAAAACGTTGAGATATAATAAACAAGTATTAACTAGTATTAGATCGAGTGTTTACCAGGTTCGCCAATTCTGTTCAAGTAAAAAAGGAATTCAAGAATATTTGGAGCCAGGAGTTTTATTATGAAACTTATATGGAAAATATATTTACAGTGTTTTTTCTTCAATTGTCAATGATAATGTTTTATTCAGATATATTTTTTATGCTTCTGTTTGCAAATGTTCAATTTTAACTATAAAAGAGCTAATACTTAAAAGCGTTAATAATTTTTTTCGTAGGGTATATGAAATTAGAATAATACCTCTAATTTTCATTTATATAAAGAAAATATATCTTAGGTTCTTATAGAAAGAAAGAACATAATAAAATATTTATTAAAGATTTACTGAAAATTCAACGAATATTTTATTTTTTAAAACGTTATTTCCTGTAGAAAGCCGAAGATAACCAAACACTACATGACAATGAAGAGTTTAAGAAACCAGGAATTTCAGTTTATAAATCATACGTCAATGCCGGAGCGGGACTTTTCTTCAAAATTGTTATTTTATCCACGCTAATTATATCGCAATCCTTTACAAGTGCCAGCGACTATTGGCTAATCAAATGGTATGATATTATTATAATTAATATATAGTATAACACGTAAACTGTGTTTTATTTTAAAATATTCAATGAAAACATCATTACATTATGTAAGCCACATTCAATTCACTATGTTAGCAAATGTCAGATATAATGAACGAAGAAGTTTTGTGAGTTGCAGTGAATATATTTTTTGTATTTCTAAATATTGCCATACACATATTATAATTTAACCTTCAAAATTTAATTATAAAATGTTTACATTTATATATATGTATTTAATATAAATATTTTCGAAAGAATTTATGCGTATTGATTTCAAGTGTATTTCTTAAACAAATATATATATATTTTGGATTGTAAATTTAAACGTTAAACTCATTATTCAGAAAATTTATTTATTACTGTTGTGAAGAAGACAGTTTTTTCCTTTGTAATTGTGGAAAGGTTTGAAATATTTTTTTCCACAAAACATCAATAATAATCTCATCTTGACTACACTGCTTCGTTAATGCAAAAGTCTGTAAAAACTGGAATAAGGTCTCACATAATTTCTTCTTGCAGCGCCAAACACTGTAGCAATAGATTCCAACGTCTGTTTCCTTAGCAGATTCTTATCACATTGAAGAAATGTCAATGTGTGGGAAATATTGCGCAGTAATTCCAGGCAAAAATAATCTTCAATTGAATTGATCACATAGGTAAGAGATTGAGATGTCGTCTACATTATACATCTTACGGTAAATAATGTGAGTCTGGCTTAAATTTCCACTGTAATCAATTTACGTGTTTATGCGCTGTATTATCTCATCATCATTCGATAGATGTCAACATCGTTTATATGTATTTTCTTTCTTTAATGCATTTAAGTAGTTCTAATTGTATTTCATTCTGTTAAAAGAAATAAAATAATCACAACGTGTAATTTTTATTTTATTTTTAATTTTCAGGTTGCAAGATATAAGAATTTATAGCCACAGCATAGAGAATCTCGAAAATATTACATCTAACAAAAGTATTTTTCACAACATTGAAGACGAAAATTTTTATCACACTGAAGAATTCAACATGTATGTTTACATTGGTTTGATATGTGCCGTATTTCTAACGACTTTACCTTCTGGATTATTGGTATACAGATTCTTTACAATTGCTTCTTTCAAGCTGCATAACAATATGTTTCGTTGTATCATTCGAACTCCAATATCATTTTTGGATAACAATCCTGTTGGTATGTAAAATCTATTTATTTATTTTATTGTTAAGTTAAACAGTTTTTAATGAAATTCGAAAACAAATTTTTTATAGTATATAACTTCTGTTTTTACTTTCTTCTTTCGTATCACAAATATTCGTTATTGGTTAACATTATAGCACTTGATGTGAAACTTCATAACCCAATACATGTTGTATTCCATAGAAAATAACTGGTGAAACTAGGTTAAAAAAGCAAAGCCCGGCAAAATCATCTAAATAAATGAAATACTGTATTTTAAAGTTTTAGCACAAGAATAGTGGAACTGATTTGACAGTAACACTACTTAATATGTCAATAAAATGCACATTAAATGGACTACAACAACGAGAAATTTTGGATGAATCACCTGTCACCATTATCAAAATACGAAAAAATAAGCTTTGTCGCAGAAAAAATTTCGAGCTTTACTTCGTATCTCGAACATTCTTCACTGTTACTCTCAAAGCTAATGTAATATTCAACCAAATTATTGTAGGTGCAACGGCTATAAAAGAGAAAGTAAAGCTCAAAGCCTTTTTTGTGACAATGCTTATTTTTCCGATTTATTATGTAGTTGTAGTCTGTGTAATATGCACTTTGTTCACATGTTGAGTCTTATTGTCAAATCTGCTTTTAGTATTCTTGTGGTTTAAGCTGTGGGGTAGGAGTTAAAGTCGTGGTTTTTTTGGTGTTTTATTCGGTCTGAGTCGGAGTAGCAAAAAATCCACCGACTTTAACTGCTTTTTACTTCCCAACTTATTATGTGTATAACAAGTTGGGAAGTAAAAACGGAAAAGTGTTAGAATCCTGTCAAATTTGACACTCTCCGAATTTGTTACAAATCACGTTTGGAGACCTCCCGAATTCCTTCCCTCAAAAAATGTCAAATAAAAGACAAAATTCGTGTGTGTGTGTGTTGGTGTCTAATTTGTTTAATTCTCTATTCTCTGTTCTCAGATATTAAACAATATCTCAGAATGGGTAAAGTTTAAGAAACGAAATCTGACACAGTAACTTGTGTATAAAGGGGCATTAATGCTATTAAATTTTATAATTAAAGGTAGGCAGGATGGAGACATAGAAGGAGACGTGTGTCATATCTCCAGTGGTGAACTTAATAACTATTTTACTGGTTATTAGCGTTTACAGTTAATTTTTTTAAAAATAAAACTCGTCTTTATTCTCAAAATTAAGCTTTTTGTCATTTTATAATAGTACAGTAAAACCCGTTAAAATGTTCTCGCCTGAGATGTTAGAACTTTGAAGTTTAACTTTTAAACCCTCTGACTCCGATTTAAAAACCACAAGTTATTAGACTTCAATTAGGGTGAACAAAATCGTACCCCACGCGCACAGTCCATACATACAAAAAAACTTTTGTATATCTCAGCATTTCAAGGTGTCTCGAGCCCAAAAATATAAAAATTTGGGGGGAGTCATTGTTTGGCCGATTGCTACACTTTCCTTCTGTTTTATATAACAGCCGGGAAAGTAAAAATTACCGAATACATAGTTATATATTAACTGTGTCATTACTTAGAGGAGTGTTTTTACTTTGGAATGAAAACGTTTCTATGTTCCATCTTCAATAAAACTCTATTTATTGAAACTTTTATTCTGAGGTCGCGTGTTGACATCAAAATTTCCGGGTCTATTTTGGTAACAAGTTTGCCTACAGTCGAAGCCGGATGGTAAGGCAAAGTCGGAGTCAGAGTCGATGGATTTTTAAACGACTCCACAGCACAATTTTCGAAAATACTTTATTTAGTATATTTGCTAAGCTATCTTTTTAACCTAATATCAATAGTACTTTTATTGGATTTCATGTATTTTTCTGTCATTGATAAATTCAAAACATAATACGTTTTATGATAAATCTATATTTGTATGACAATCAGTAATAGCCTGAAGATTTTCATTAAGATTTAAGAGAATTAGTATAAAAACTTTGATGCAGATCGATAAGAAGCTAAGGAAAGAAAGATAAACAAATAGTTTATTATCTTATACAGGCAAAATCTCAAGAAAAAGAAAACTCAGTAGGGAAAAGAGAAAATTAAACTGAATAAAAAATTATTAGCGAATGTTGACAGCTTTAGATACCAGTAAACAGAAATATCAAAAGACGGAAAGGTTGTCATAGGAGTAAATAGAAGGATACAGCAAGTTGATGGCTTCTATCAAAATTTTGATCTGGAAAATGATGTGACACTCAAGTGTAAGGACGTCCTTCATCAATTATACTTTTTGTGCTGAGTGAGATCAGCAGAGATAGAACAAGGAATGAAGAAATAAGAAAAAAAAACAGGAATGAAGAATTTGAGAGAATAAAAAAGATTAGATTCAGATCGTTTACACATAACAAGAGAAAGGAAGGAAATAGAAAACCTAAGATAGTATTTGAAAACATAATAAGGAGAGAAGACCTAAGGAGGACCCAGAAAGATGTGGTTGGACAAAATAGGTGAAAGATCCAGCATCACTAGATTACAGTCGACTCCCCTATAAGATATAGATACGTTCCATTCTTTAGGAATCCGATTTCTTACGAGTTGTTCCAATCACAGCCCGACACGTGTCAAGTTTACGGACTACGGCTGATTGAAAGGTTTTCTTCCATAAAATTAATCGATTGTAGACTAATCCGACTCAACATTTCCAAAATACGTATATATTTTTTGGAAATAATCCGTATAAACTACGCTATAAATAAAAAATTGTAGGATTACTTACCGAGTGTCACCATTCGACATCGCCATTGCTCAACATTGTTTTTGTCGCGGAACAGCTCAGCAAACTGCGGCCGATTTCTAATAACTTATTTTTCTGCGAATAGTTCCTTAAACTTCGGAGACATCATTAATATGAATAATTTTTATCGCCGTTGAATAAGAAATGTTTCTTTCACAAGAAATGTATAAAATTACAGTACTGTATTAGACTTACGGTACCTAATTTACATACTGTACAGACGATAGTAAACTCAACTTACTCGCCTAAACTCTCCGTAGCGTGGCGCTGGACGGCGGAAAGTATATATATAATTATAATAAAGTTACAATAAATTAAGTTAATATATAATTATATATACAGTACCTAATTTATATACAATTTATATATAATACCGTACAGACGATAGTAAACTCAATTTACCCGCCTAAACTCTCCGTAGCGTGGCGCTGGACGGCGAAAAGTAGTTCGGCTGCCTGATGACGTTTTACCGAATTATAGGAGTTTTTTACCATGTTTGTACGGATACCGTCGCAATTTTTTTGCCATTATATAGGAATCCGAACTATAGGAACCCGTGTTATAGGGGGTCGACTGTACACAAAAATGTGCTAATAATATCAATTAGAAGGATTTTCCTTTAGAATGTTGTGGTTGTCACTGAATTTTTTTTTAAATTTATACCTGTTACAGTGATGTAATAAGTAGCAACAGTTGTTAAGATTTGAATCGAAATAAGAGCCATTTTGGCCTACGAGTGCGTAAGTAAATAACGTTACTAACCTCAGGTAGTTGGTATCTGGTTCACACTCGACCGATGAGTTGGACGCAAATACTTTTTCCAGATTTTCTTCACGTGTGTAATTTCCAAATTGGAAAAGGTTTTTCCATCGAAAGTCATTGGAGTATACATTGCTTTTTTCGCAGATTGTATTTGCAATTCTATAAACATTTGATCATTTTCTAAATTTTCTAAATACGGCCCCGTTCATAAAACCAGTAACTCACTTGTGTATTAAATAAAATAAAATAAGAAAAAAATTTAATAATGAACCATTCCTTTGTCGTGTCATTGAAAATAAAGGAAAAAATAATTCTTCTTTTAGTTAGCATTAATCAGTGTGTTTATTAGTAAAATTTAGATACCGTTGCATTATGCATATTAATTAAAAATTCACAATAATTAAAAAAGTGACTAGCTCACAAATGGCAAATCTCTATAGAAAAAAGTCTCCACAGTATTCCACAGTATGTTATTAAAGTCTATTTTAAACGACCAGAAAGCAGTCTCAAAGAATGGCCACTTTAAGTAAAAATTAAACAAATATGGCCAACGGAAAGAATGTGAGAGCAAAGTTTCCATGGTTTTGCATTTTATTACTCTAAGGAAAGATTACCTCCGTGTTTATTAATCTTTGTAGACTGTTGCTAGCGTGTTGAAACGACGGAAAAGATATAGGGACAAAGGTTTTTGTTTGTTCCTATGTAATATTTCTTATTTATACTTATTAAATAACAACTTTATTTGTATTCAGATGCCTCTGTCAGAAATTGATGCCTGCTCAACATCTGATTCTTCTTGAGTCACTGTTGGGACCCGAAAGATGGTAAACTATGCCTGGGCAAAACGAGGCCAGAGGAAACTCTGGTGGAGGTTTTATACGGTCGGACCTTGGTATAGGGGTGAAAGTTAAATCAACAGAAAGTACACGCACGGCGTTTACATAGAGGGTTGCAAAGCAGATAATCATAATACTTATTTTTCAGCTGCTGCTTTGCAATTCTCTATGTAAACGCCGTGCGTGTACTTTCTGTTGATTTAATTCCGGCGAAAGGTATTATCTATTTGGGTTATCTCTCTGTGTGTAGTGACTTCTATATATTGAAATTTTGTTGGTGAAGCTGCTCTCACAATTTGATTTTTATTTTCGGGAATCCTAGTATGCCTGTTATCACGTTTTCCATGTTATGAAGTCTAATAAATCATCAAAATTTTAATTATTTTTAGTGTTTTACGAAAAACCGCGCTTGCTGTACACCATTTCTGTTGTGACTATGGTTTACAGGAATCGTGCACGGAAATGCGATACTGTGAACCTGAGTCTGAATGCGTCTGACACGTGTTATTCAACTTGACCCTATATACACAATGAATGATTTTGCAAAGGAAGATGACTTAAAAACCACTTGATATATGTCAAAACCGTTGAACTTGACAAAATGCGAGTTACAGGTTTTATGCATGGGACCACAGAATATTGTTACTATAATTTTCCAATTAAATGTAACATTTTTTTTGAATTGTTTGCATTCTTTCTAATTCACAGATAATTTCAATTTGATAACGAACTCTACATCAATTAAGTTTACTGAAATGAACATGATCTGATTTAAAGACAATGAATGATGTAAAGTCAGCAAACATTCCTGCTTAAAATCGAATATTTTGTCGAAATCGTTCTGTTTTCTTGGCCCAGGTGTTCTGTTTCAATTACAGAAAGTATTAGACAAATCGAATCGCGAGGAAAAATATTACGCGAACTATTGGAATGTAAGAGTGAAGAATCAAATTGATAAAAAGATGGGTTTGAACCACACTGAGCACTCAATTCTTTTTGTTAGAAGATCATATTATCGAAAAAATTTCGGTTTACCAACTACATTTCAGAGGATGAAAGATTATTGAAATCTTACTAAACATTCAATTCACAAAAATGTGTAGCTTACATACAATTCATTTTAATGCCAATAAACACAAATTAATTTTAATTATGAAATACTATATTATAAATAACTGTCATCTGTAGAATTTGTGAGTATTCTTCCTTTTACTTTACTGACTTTTATGTACACATAACTAGGGAAAGTATTGGAATCTTGCAAATTTTTCCCTTTGAGTTCTTCTCAAATCGTCACGTTTTGTGACCTCCTAAAGCCAAAAAATGTCAAAAAACAAAACAAAATTACCAGTGGCGTAGCGTGGGTGTTAGCCGCCCGGGGCGGAGGAAAATTTCTCTGCCCCCTTATTTAGGTATCTCAATTTAAAAGACTAAAATTCAGTTTCGTCACAGAATAAGTAATGAAAAATTCCGTGCTAGTGTTGCCACCTTTTTTAAATCGCTGACCCGGACGGCGGGTGAGGTTTGTTCGAACAGAAGTTCAGAACGCATGCGTATATCATTTTGCAATGCGAAGAATAATTTGCAGTGCATGCCGGTTCTAAATCAGTTACAGTTAGCGACTAGGAACAGTTGAATAGGAGTAACGCAAGTGAATGAATCGTACAAGCAAAAAGTAGAAAAAAAGGTCGACAGGTTGCGCACGATATCCCCTGACGGCGAGTCGGATGGTAACACTATTCCGTGCTCAATTCAATCAGTCCGAGTCGTAAATGGACGAAAATATGAAATAAAATGGTTCAACTTCTTACAACATATTATTATTATTTATTGTAAAATTTTGCCGCCCCCCCTTACGCTACGTTANAAGGTGGTATATGGTGTGGTATATAAGGGAGATATCGGGTTGAAAGTGGTTGACTTCGAAGATGTGTAACAACGGAAGTGTCAACAATGGAAGTGTTAACAATAGAAGTGTTAACAATGGAAGTGTTGAGTAACAAAGGAAGTGTTAATATAAAGCGGCATGCAAGATTTACAGGCGGTTTTTTGCGTTTTTACGTTTTTGAAGGTCCTTGCAGCTAGATTCTAGATTACTTAGATAAACAGTCTTTTGTATATATATAAAAGTATATTACATACAAATAAAAACCCAGCGAAGCGGGTCCTTGCAGCTAGCAATAAATAAAATCTCATAAGATACGGTGCCAGAACAATTGTAACTTTGTGGTAAAGCGTCTTTGCGTTACATAAAAATAAAGACTTTTTCCAACAGGAAATCATTCGACTGGTTCCTGTATTTATGGCAGTGAACGTATTCGTCACGTAGACTAATCTGCAAATCGAAATTCATGGAATAATGAGATGCTGCGGTTGATAACATGCATGTATTTAGTCTCCAGCACTCCAGCAAGAACTCTTCAGCAGCTTTAATATACTTTTGATCATGAATAGTAGCTGTGAAACGTAAAAGTCAACCACGTGACATATTCGTCATTTTTTCTGCAAGAAAGATTTAGACAATGTTTATTACTTTTTCTTGTTGCTTTACTGTGTACTAGTCCACGTGCATAAAACAAGTTTTTTACATGAATTGATAATTTCATCAATTTCTTTGAAAGAATAAACTTCTTTATAAAAATTTAAGAAGGGAATGTCCTTTATAAAAAGTTTTCAAAAATTTCCTGCTTTGTAGTTCAATGACTTATAGCTGATATTCGGCTAGTTCTTCCACATAATTGAATGAAAATGAATTACTAAACAATTTTAATTCAGTTTCTATTTTTTTCCATTTTTTTTTGAAATCAGAAAATTGGTTGTTAAATCTTTTAACAACATTTTATACAATTTATTATACGTTTAAAGTTCACAGGAAAGTCTTTTTTTCTTTTTAATAACCTCTGAAAATACACAATTTCACCAGACAATTTTATTATGACAAACAAAACAGATAACACGTTTCAATTACCAAATATTTTTCTGGCCAAAACGTATTGAATTTTCGCTTTTCTTCTGTTATTTTTATTTTTTTAGTATTAGATGCCATGAGATTACATGTCTTTTTCATCCGTCTGGAGAAAAGTATCCGCTCTTTATCACTAACAACATCACTTCGTTACAAAAATTTTTGAACTGAAACACTCAAAACAAGAGACCACGCCGTCAACATTTTATACTGGTCCGTTACAAATTACGTCACCCATTACGTCATTAGGACAACAAAAGTTTATCTAGTGGAACCTGAATAATTTTTACCACATACTTTACCAAAATAAATGAAAACGTATCTAAATTTAGGGTGCAATGAATCGCATAAAAATATAAAGTGGGCCGCGAGTTGTACATTCCTGATTTAGAGGAATGTCTTTTTTTCAGTTGTTCTTTTGCATAAATACAACAATGTTCTATTTGCATTTTAAGTTCCACCCAATTCTGTTCAGTAGTTTGTTAGATGTATATAGAAATTATCTGGTGCTTCGTTAAAGGTAATAGGTTAATAATTATTATATTTGAAATGTAAAATAATTCAATTATGTAAAAGAAACTTTGTAAAATACTTGTATTACATATACAAATTTCTTTTGACAGTGAGAAGTCCAGTATTTTCACATCTGAGTGTATCTCTTTACGGACTGACGACAATTAGAGCATTTAAAGCTGAAAGCAGATTTAAATCCATGTTTAATAAGTATCAGGATAAACATACTTCAACGTTGTTTATTTACACGTGTTTAATTCGATGGATTTCCGTATACGGTCACATAATTTGTTTTATAAATCTAATTATTACCGTTATTATTTTCGGTGTTTCAAATAATTCAGGTGGGTGAATATAGGTAAATGTATGAAGTCTATAATATAAATTTTTCTGAATTTATATTTGTTGCTTTAGATGATGCAGGAAGCAAAATTGGACTTTTATTAAATTACGGAATTGTAATAATTTTGAATTTACAAAACCTTATTGCATTTACATGTGAAATGGAATTTCAGGTATTGCATATCTAACCAACTCGATAATTAAACCAAATAACAAACGAACAGCCAATTGCTTTATCGGACGAATTTTTCGAACAAGAGAAACTTCTTACAAGAAAGAATTTTCTTATGACTATATTCCACACGTTTTTGCACTATTCTGTCTAACATATATTAAGAAAATAAAGTCCGATAAAGAAAACCAGGTGTTTGTTTGATAATTCTAATATTATTTGTTTAAAAAAGTTAGTAATTATTTACTAAATAATTAATTGTTATGTTTAGCACTAGTATATGTATACTATTAGAAGATTGCTTTGCACGAACTCATCGTAATTTTTGCCGATTCAAAGTTACTTTTGAACAGAAACGAACAGAAAATATTTTTTTAAAACTTAATTATCGTATAAATTAATCAAAATATTTCTGAAAACAATTGTGACGTGTCACTATTTCAACATTTCTTTTAGAAACAACCAATATTCTGACAAAAATTTCCACTCAAAATTCATCCAAATGAGACCAAATTGAAACTAAAATATTAAAAAAGTAGAGAAGCAAATATACAAACTATTATTCGTTTCATCGTTATTCTCTAAATTTCAGATAACAGCAGTATTTCCTCTTTCTTTACGTTCTAATTAACTTTTCATGCAAATTGTTACATATATATTATACCAAAAAATATCACTAAAATAACAATAATAAAATAACAAAAATACCAACACCCAAAACAATACTAAATCCTGATATCAGCTGTGGACAGCTTTACAAATTACATGTTAATTATTTTTAACACCCCAAACACCATATTACACAATGCAACAAATTATAAAAGTGCGATTTGCACCAAGATTGTTGCGGTGTTAATAAGAATGAAAAATTTAGAATGAAGGAAGAATGCTAACCATGTTTACCACACATTTTTATATAAAAATATTAAAATCATTAGCTTCAATGAAGTTCAACACGTAATATGATATCGGATATTTTAACTTGTTATGTCAACAAGTTTCATACTTTGCGTTACTTCATAAAAAGTAAATTTTCCAGATGAACTCGGTAAAGCGCATTCTGAAATACAGCAAATTGAAATCGGAAGCTTTATACGAAAGTTTGCCCGAAAAACGACCACCCTCGGATTGGCCACAAAGAGGAGAAATTCATTTTTATAATGTTTCTTTACAATACTCCGAGGATAAAAACTTCGTTTTAAAGAACTTGACATTTCTTATTCATTCTGGAGAAAAGGTAAAACTTCTGCAAATCAGAAGCGTATTGCTAGTAATTATTGTGTGAAGTGGTTTCTATTATTTATTATTTGCAGATTGGGATTGTCGGGAGAACTGGAGCAGGAAAGAGTTCAATAATTGCTTCGTTATTTCGCATGACGGAGCCAACGGGGAAAATCACCATCGATGGAATCGACACTAAGGAAATCGGTCTTCGGGATCTACGTAGTAAAATATCCATCATTCCACAAGTAATTAATAACTAATTCTGTCAAAATAACTTTTAGTTAATAATTTTCATATTTCATAGAAACTTAGGTTAAGTAGTTGCTCCGAATTGTCCGAAACACTTACATTTCTTGGAGATGTAGTTACTGAAGATGTGCTGTACATCAAAGTTGCAGTTTGATCTGTATATACTAGTCTTGACAGATGCTTGGATATCCGCCATTTTCTTGCGTGGCCTTGATGTGTATACACAAAGTACAGTACACACTTCATACGGTTGCCTTTGAAAACCCTAGCGTTGTTTCCACTTGAATATTAAATGACTTGTTTGATTTTTACCAAGAATGTGTCCACGATCAAAGTCATTTAAATCAATAAATTTAATCATTATTAATTATGAAGTTCGGTTGGGAAGACTACACTTTTGCCTATTGAAATTTTGAATTTTATTTAAACACGTTAAATTGTTTTGGGTATCAACAGGAGATTTTATCGAAAGTCTCTAAACTTTTGATTTGTCAGTATAGAGTAACGATCGCTTATATGGTATGTTGGAAATGTGGGGAGAATGACTCCATATTCAATCACGAAATTACTGTTAGAATCAGTTAGGATTTACACCACAGTTGGGGCAAAAGTCTATTTTAAATTTTCCTTCTTTTTATCGTCTATCGTGTAATATAGAAGAAAAAGTTTTCATTTTCATATTCCTGATTTTCGTGAAAAATGAAAGCTTAAAATTAATTTTTGAATTTTTGTCACGCATGCAATAATGCGATGCATAACAAGATACATTGTCACCAGAAAACACAGCAATATCTTTCACATTATGCAAAGTCAAGTATTGTCGAAAAAGGAACAAAAGCAAAAAATGTTAATCCAATGATAGAATCAAGAGTAATGTTATCATGTTGGGGAAAATAAAAATGCGGTAACTTCCTTCTGAAGTACAGTGGTACCTCAGGATACGAAATTTTTAGGATACGATCTCAGTTTCGAAACGGATTAATTTCGTATCCTGAGGTACGACTGTAATTGAAGTTCAAATGCACTCAAAATGTTTGAATAAAATTAATGAAAAGAAACAATCACAATATCGTTTATTTGTTACTGTACCGTGTGTACTGTAGGATAATTATTTAAATAACGTATTTTAATATTCAATTTATCGTAATTATCAAGTGCGTTATTTACTATAAAAATGAATTGTATAATTCAAGCTATTAATCCAACATATGCGTATGTTTCAGGATCCCATGTTGTTTACCGGTCCTCTTCGAAGGAACATCGATCCTTTCGATGAATATTCGGAAGAAACGCTGTGGAACGTGATAGAAGAGGTTGGAATTAAATAAATATTTCAATTTGCTTCCCGATTTTCTTTCTAAATTATAAATTATTAAACTTAATTATCGTGTATTTACTTTCAAAAACATGTCAATTAAAGGTACAGTTAATAGAAGTTATTAGTAAATTACCTGGAGGATTGGATACACACTTAACGGAAGGAGGGAGAAATTTCAGCGTGGGAGAAAGACAATTAATTTGTCTGGCCAGAACCATTCTTCGCCGGAATAAAATTCTCGTCATGGACGAAGCAACGTCCAATATCGATAAAAGGTGAGAACACGTGAAATAGAAAATATTATCTAATCTAATATATAATCGNAGATAAACAACATTTGTATGTATATACAGTGGTATTCAAAAGCTCTCAAAATGTGCTGGTCAAATTTGACATGATTCCAATACTTTTACTTGTTAATTAACTCCTTTACTACATAGCAGTTTTTAATTTTAATGTAATTAAACATAAAAAATACTTAAAACCGAAAAAACGAAAGAAATGCGTTAATTTTGAAGAGAAAGCTTCAAAGTTTATTTTCCATTGTCTCGCCTTTCTGTGAAATTTGACACCCATGAGTCATTGTGTTTACAGCTTGATGACCTCAGAACAGCTGGTGTTGGAGTTCTCCGGACATTCTCAGACGTCTCAGGAGGAGAAGGATTTAAAGTAGGGTGAATACTAGCTGGCCGTATATTTTTAAATATTTAAAAAAAAATTAAAATTTTTATTGCGATTTCCGACCCCCCGACTTAATTAAACTTATATATAATAAAATATATTAATTTAAAAAATTAAAAAACTATTGGAGGTCGTTTTTTGACATCAGAAAGTAGCTTTAAATAACTTTACCGAAGTCAAATCCGTGCNTCGGATTGGCCACAAAGAGGAGAAATTCATTTTTATAATGTTTCTTTACAATACTCCGAGGATAAAAACTTCGTTTTAAAGAACTTGACATTTCTTATTCATTCTGGAGAAAAGGTAAAACTTCTGCAAATCAGAAGCGTATTGCTAGTAATTATTGTGTGAAGTGGTTTCTATTATTTATTATTTGCAGATTGGGATTGTCGGGAGAACTGGAGCAGGAAAGAGTTCAATAATTGCTTCGTTATTTCGCATGACGGAGCCAACGGGGAAAATCACCATCGATGGAATCGACACTAAGGAAATCGGTCTTCGGGATCTACGTAGTAAAATATCCATCATTCCACAAGTAATTAATAACTAATTCTGTCAAAATAACTTTTAGTTAATAATTTTCATATTTCATAGAAACTTAGGTTAAGTAGTTGCTCCGAATTGTCCGAAACACTTACATTTCTTGGAGATGTAGTTACTGAAGATGTGCTGTACATCAAAGTTGCAGTTTGATCTGTATATACTAGTCTTGACAGATGCTTGGATATCCGCCATTTTCTTGCGTGGCCTTGATGTGTATACACAAAGTACAGTACACACTTCATACGGTTGCCTTTGAAAACCCTAGCGTTGTTTCCACTTGAATATTAAATGACTTGTTTGATTTTTACCAAGAATGTGTCCACGATCAAAGTCATTTAAATCAATAAATTTAATCATTATTAATTATGAAGTTCGGTTGGGAAGACTACACTTTTGCCTATTGAAATTTTGAATTTTATTTAAACACGTTAAATTGTTTTGGGTATCAACAGGAGATTTTATCGAAAGTCTCTAAACTTTTGATTTGTCAGTATAGAGTAACGATCGCTTATATGGTATGTTGGAAATGTGGGGAGAATGACTCCATATTCAATCACGAAATTACTGTTAGAATCAGTTAGGATTTACACCACAGTTGGGGCAAAAGTCTATTTTAAATTTTCCTTCTTTTTATCGTCTATCGTGTAATATAGAAGAAAAAGTTTTCATTTTCATATTCCTGATTTTCGTAAAAAATGAAAGCTTAAAATTAATTTTTGAATTTTTGTCACGCATGCAATAATGCGATGCATAACAAGATACATTGTCACCAGAAAACACAGCAATATCTTTCACATTATGCAAAGTCAAGTATTGTCGAAAAAGGAACAAAAGCAAAAAATGTTAATCCAATGATAGAATCAAGAGTAATGTTATCATATTGGGGAAAATAAAAATGCGGTAACTTCCTTCTGAAGTACAGTGGTACCTCAGGATACGAAATTTTTAGGATACGATCTCAGTTTCGAAACGGATTAATTTCGTATCCTGAGGTACGACTGTAATTGAAGTTCAAATGCACTCAAAATGTTTGAATAAAATTAATGAAAAGAAACAATCACAATATCGTTTATTTGTTACTGTACCGTGTGTACTGTAGGATAATTATTTAAATAACGTATTTTAATATTCAATTTATCGTAATTATCAAGTGCGTTATTTACTATAAAAATGAATTGTATAATTCAAGCTATTAATCCAACATATGCGTATGTTTCAGGATCCCATGTTGTTTACCGGTCCTCTTCGAAGGAACATCGATCCTTTCGATGAATATTCGGAAGAAACGCTGTGGAACGTGATAGAAGAGGTTGGAATTAAATAAATATTTCAATTTGCTTCCCGATTTTCTTTCTAAATTATAAATTATTAAACTTAATTATCGTGTATTTACTTTCAAAAACATGTCAATTAAAGGTACAGTTAATAGAAGTTATTAGTAAATTACCTGGAGGATTGGATACACACTTAACGGAAGGAGGGAGAAATTTCAGCGTGGGAGAAAGACAATTAATTTGTCTGGCCAGAACCATTCTTCGCCGGAATAAAATTCTCGTCATGGACGAAGCAACGTCCAATATCGATAAAAGGTGAGAACACGTGAAATAGAAAATATTATCTAATCTAATATATAATCGATTCGGGTTGATAATAATAATAATAATAATAAGCGTAAAGCCCAAACGGTTAGGAGTTGAAAGTTGAAATTTGGTACACAGTTAGGATACGTCACGAAAACGCACACTAAGATGGGATTTTTCGAAATTCCCCCCAGGGAGAGAGAGACAGGATTAAGGTTTCGATAATGGAAGTGTTAAGTAACAATGGCAGTGTTAACAATGGAAGTGTCAACAATGAAAGTTTTAACAATGGAAGTGTTAAGAGAAAGCGATGTGCAAGATTTACAGGCACAATTGCGGTTTTTTCGTTTTTGCAGGAAATCGAACATTTTTTAACCCATTAAAAAATTCTCTAATTAGTCTGGAAACAGTGGGACCTAATTCTCGCATTCTTTGAAAACGGTTAAGATTGACTATAACGTAAAAATATTAATCTTCGCTATCGTTACTTTTTGCCCGAGCAACGCAGGGCCTATCTGCTAGTTTCAATTATAAATGATTTAGGTTTGTTATTTGTGGTGCATAGCAAATGGTTATAACTTTTTCCAAACTGTTAGATATTTGTGCTACTCACTTTGTGTTTTGGTTTTTAATCTTTTTATCTATTATTGTCAACTAAATATAAACTCATTTTACTCACAATACATTCCAAATTATAAATTTATAAATAAATCGTGAATTTAAACATAAATATTTGTCAACCTAATCGTAATATATCATTTCATATCTTTAACGTAGAGAACGGCAGTATGGAATCCTAATGTAAATGATGACGTTAGATAATTGCAAAACTTTTGGCTGATGATGATAAAATAGACTTTTACCTATTCCTAATATCTTCAAACGTCAAAACTTAAGAAACGCAATGGTGGGTGAAATCTCCTTATTTTCTTAAAACACCCGCACAAGATAAATTACTTTTGGCAAGGTCATGATAGTTGCAATTGTAGTAATAAAAATGACATTATATGTGTTTTTCATTAGCCCAATTTCTTCAAAAGGATAACTGTATACCGTAAGTCAAAACTTACAGTATACATTTTGAAAGAATACCATATTTATTGAGGTGTTCCAGAGTGTTTATTATTGTGTTTTGTGGTACTTTTCAAATTTGCTGAAGATTAATATATTATGTAAAAGCGAATTTACACCTTTTAGAACTGCATGAATGAATGATTAATAGGACTGCATTGGATAGTTGAAAAAAATCGAAAAAAGAAAAGATTGTGGAAATTGCTGTCTTATAATATTTTCATGATGTACAGGTGTGAGGTCATATGCCTGAATTATTTCTATCTTCGAAGATATGGTTTTGACATGCAGCATGTCACAGAAGTCTTGTAAAGGGGACCGGATACCTATCATATATTACAGCATGGTTTAAGGTACGATACTCAAATCGTCTCTTTATCAAAATTGTTTTTAGTTTAACACTAATTAAACACTATATACACCCAGAACTTGTCAGCAATACATTTAGGGAGAAGACTGTCATACATTCGGCTGCTCTCAATAAGCGTAGTGTTCTGGAATTTATTGCTATCTGTCTCTTCTTCAATAACTATGTCAAAATATCTGTTAGGCAATCCTTCCAGAAGTCTATTACTTGGCCAACAGTGCTATACAAAAGGATAAACTCAGATTGATTTCGTTGATAAAACCAGTAATTATTAACACTGATATAATTATCCAGTACATAAGAAAACTGTACGAATTATCTTGTATAAAAATCCATTTGAAAACATGCATTTAGGTAGTATATGTCTGGTATTGCTTGCAGACAGTAATTACAGAAAAAAAATATATTGTTTGTATAAAGAACATACATTACATGGACATAAATATTTATATAAAGACATAATGCTCATGAGGTGTAAAGGATGTAATACTTTGTTACCTATTACAAAGGCAAAAGAATGTTTCTTTGTTGATGTGATCAACGCTGTTACGGTTATCGCAGTGATATTAACATTTTCTCACTTTTGAAGAACTGGTATGCAATGGTCAGACTTACGTTTGTAACGCTGTCCATCTTTGTATGCCATACGTGCAGGAATCTCCAATAAATTTTCTACAGAATTAGAAGTAGATAATATAATTGTCTGAAAGAAAAATAGAACTCCATTAGCTTTAAATAAATCATGGTATACCATAATAAATGAAATGCAGAATTGTCTTGATGAAATATGCATTTTTCATTACAAGTTCATCCTTTTTCATCATACCACCTAAAAGTAGCTGATTTCCTAAAAGACGTCGATACTCCATCGACGTCTATTGTTCAAATGAACAGAAGTCAGTAAATATTAGCAATGCTTTTACATCTGCTCCAAATGCTCAAAAAGGCATTACAGACCATTTACTGTACTAATTTTTGAACATTTTTTATTTTTTAAATCATGCCATTATAGAGGATCACATCAGGCCAACCTAAGATAAACTTTTTTTTTTATCTGATAATAAAAGTATTTTGTATTTATGACAGATTCCACAAAGGGCCGGATTAACCCACTTTGTGGCCCTAGACATTTTCTTCTTCTGGGTCTCCTCCCGACTCTTTCAATTAATTAATCTTGTTACTATTATTTCTATTAAATTGCATATGGACACTGCAGCTGCTTTATAAAAAAATAAAAACAAAATTATTTAACAATATTTCACAGGATTTAAGAATACATATAGTTAATATTATTCTTATCGCTATAAATAATATTCTAAATTAGTGGGAGTTTTACTTTCAATAAGAAGAAACATAAGAATACAAGGTTGTTCGAAAAGTTCCCGAACTTTATTTATTACAAAAAAAAAAATACTTTACCTACGATTTATTTATCAAGTTCCCCTTCAAAGTAGTCTCCTCCGCAGCATATACACTTCCACTTTTTGAAACAGTTCTGGAACGCTTTTTCCGGAATGCTCATAAGCTCCTCCGTCGTTTTTTTCTATCTCTGGAATGGTGGCAATTGTTTCTCCTTTCAGCGCATTTTTTAGTTTGTTGGAGAACAGGAAAAAGTCGCATGGGACCAGGTCAGGTGAGTAGGGTGGGTGAGGAAGCACAGCGGTCTTGTTTTTTGCCAAAAACTCATGTGTTCTGCGGGACAAATGAGCCGGTGCGTTGTCGTGGTGAAAGAACCACTTGCCGCTTCTCTAAAGTTCTGGCCGTTTTCTCCTGATTTTGTCTCTTAGGCGATTTCATAACATCAGGTAGTACTCCGTGTTAGTAGTATGCGTTTGATGCAAACTGGGGTATAAATAATTAATTATAATATAAAAAAAAATATATAACACAATTAAAAAAAAATTTTGTTTTATA